CAATAAAGCGTACCCCCGTTACGATTCCCCTAAGCGTGCAAAGGGAAAGGAAAAGGGGTCGGTCAAAGAAGGAAGGAAACCGGTGGACGGCGTGAGTAAGCGTTTATGTAAAAGGCGAGTAAACGTTCGTTTTGTTGGTCGAATTAGCTTCGTGGTCTCCACTCAGCCGGTAGAGGGGAGAGGGAGGCAGGATCAGCGCGGTCTTCTCGAGTTTCGGGGCCCAATCACGTGCCAGTCATTCCTCGGGCTAAAGGGGCCTTCGGTTCCGGGCAACAGGAGGGTGATTTTTGCATGTCACGTGGCCAAACGGGCACACACTGAATGCCCGTCGTTAGGCACTCGTTGTGCCACGATGAGTCGGTTTCACGCAACGATACGTCCCGAGAACGCTCCACTTCGGCGCCCTTTCGAGAAAGCACCTATGAAAATGACTCCAATGATTGATCCTATGGTATCCGCTCGTTTGTCCGCGTTCGAGCTTCCACGTGATTTTGTACACGATGTGAAGTGTAAATTAAAAAAGAAAGAAAAATTGATGAGATGAAAATTGTATAGAGAATTGTTTTTCAATTTCTTTTTCTTATTGAAAATATTTGTTAAAATTGCAAGATGAAGATTGAATGAAGATTGTTTTATTGTATCGTACTACGAAGTACAAATTGAGAAGAAAATTGTTGAAATTTATTAATCCTTCTATTCGAATTTTTGAAGCTAATATAAAGAGTGAGAATAATTTTTTAAATAATGAGATAAAGATCGAATAAAAATTGTGCCATTTTGTAAATATGTATCGTTTTGAAATTATTAATGCTAGGAATATTAATGGTAAAAAAGAAATGTTTTGGATATTTTTAATTTACTTCAATTGCTGGTACACTTCAGAAATAGGAATAGGTTTTAAAAATCTTAGCATATAAATCCACCGAGGTATTAGGGAAAAGGTATTAGGTAAAAAGTATTTTTAAAAACACGATTTGACCAAGAATAAAAATTAGTCAAATATTTTTTTATGACCCCCCCCCCCTGATCCTACTTGAATTTGCGTTCTTTCTCGAATATGATAGTAAAAATGGTAAAAATGATTTTACAAGAACTTCCCCGAAGTAACAGTAAAAACTACCCTTGAGAGAGGAAACCCTTCTGCCTGTCCAATGTTTTTACGACTTGACCCACATTTTTCGAGAGGAAACGAGGGTACAGGTCTGTGTCTTTTCACTGGCGCGGCGCACGTGCCATAAAAATACAAGAACCGTACGATTTTCCTTTGGTAAAATAGTCGAGAGAAAGGTGAAAAGAAACGAAGAAAGAAAGCGGAGTCCTGTGCCGATGCTAAAAAGTCACGGACACCGTTAGACCGTAAAAAGATACACGTCGTACACCCTCGTGAGATATTTCTGCATGCTTAGACGTGTTCGTTTCGGAGAATATGGTTTTACTGCTTCTAGAAATATTTCAAACGGATAGACATATATATATTTTTTTTTCATACGATAAAAAAAGAAAAGATCTCTTTTGAAAAGGAAAATCTTGAAATTTAAAAAACACGATGATAATTTATTTTTGTAGAAAAATTGTTAAATCTGTTCGAATTACTGTTTGGTGAAATTTATTATTAAAATAAAAAATTCTTTTGCATTATTTATCATAAGGGAATTTTTTTAAACTTTAAACAAAATATTTTTAGGTAAGTGTATTACAACAAATAATAAAAAAATGTCGGCCAAAAACAAAAGTGAAATTTTACGATGACTCCAATATTTTCATTTCGTCATTCGTAACTTTTCAAATTTTTTTTACTAGCTTTTATTAATAGATCTAAGTTCTTTCTTTATTTTCTTTTTTTTTTTTTTCTTTTACTGTCCATTTTTGACTATCTTTGGTGTTTTACCTTTTTTACCTGGTCAATTGCAACTTCTTAAATTTTTTTACCTGCTTTTATCAAGCTTAACTTTTTCTTTTTATTTTCTTTTTTTATTGCCCACAGTATTTTTCTGGTGTTTTATCTTTTTTACCTGTTTTCATCCGATTAGTATAATTTCCCAAACTTTTTTATCAGCTTCTAATAAATGTATAACTTTATTTTTTTACTTATCAATTAAGATATTTCTGGTATTTTATTTTATACGTTCTTTCTGATTACCATAAAATAATTACTATTATGTTTTTTGTAAATAATGAAGAAAAATAAATGAATCAATAAACGTGATCATATTGATCACTTGAAAATCTCCTGCATCACAGAAGAAACAAAAATTTTTATTTTTATTGTACCTTTAAGCTTGGAAAACTGTTTTAAGGCAGGTATGTAATTATTACAACATTGTATTGGAGGATTTACCTCGAAAATCTGTCGCCAGCCCTCTAAATCGTTATGAATTTTTTTGTCGACCAAGATTTTATTCTTCAAACAGTCCTCAAGTTGTAATGTAAGAGATTTCAAAATTTGGTAAATAATGTGTTCACAACAGAAGCTACTTTGGCCTGCATTATTTTCAAGGTTCGAGCTTACGTAGCCATTCTTTAAACTCGAAATTTATCGTTTCTTTTTACCACTGGTTGCGTTGTATACGGACAATTAGAGGCACTAAAACGAAAAAAAAAAAAAAAAAAAAAAAAAAAAAAAAAA